TATCTCAGTCTTAGAAATCCCATATTAGTTTTCTGGGCAGGGCACGATGGCTCATGTCTGTAATCTGAACACTTTGGGAGGCCAAGGTGGGCAGATTATGAGGTCAGGAGTTTGAGACTAGCCTGGCTAATATGATGAAACTCCGTCTCTACTAAAAATAAAAAAAAAAAATAGCTGGGCATGGTGATGCATGCCCGTGGTCCCAGCTACTAGGGAGGCTGAGAAAGGAGAATCTCTTGAATGTGGAGGCAGAGGTTGCATTGAGCCGACTCTACTGACTGTAGCCTGGGCAACAGAGTGAGACTCCATCTGAAAAAACCCCAAAAAATCTTATATTAGTTTTCTATTATTGTGTAACACATTGCCACAACCATCCATGTAAGACAACATAGATTTATAATATCTTACAGTCTTTACGGGTTAGGAGATGGGGCACTGCCGAGTTGGGTATGCTGCTCAGAGCTTTGCAAAGCTGCCTTAGAGGTATCAGCCAGGCTGTGTTCTATCCAGAGGCTCAGCTGGGGCAGAATTCACTTCCAAACCCATTCAAGTTGTTGGCAAAATTTATTTCCTCGTGGCTTTATGGCGGGGGGCCTCAGAATGTTTTTCTGTCTATTGGCTGGAGTTTGAAGTTGGTTCCTAAATGCCTCCTGCAGTTTCTTGACATGCAAAGTTTTCCAACATGATTATTTCTTTCAAGACCTCAAAGAGATTATCTAGCCTCTCTTCTAGCAAGTATGTGTGTGTGCTGGTAGTAATGGTGAGAGTGACTTCTCATAACCTTTGCCGTATAATATATAATAATGATAGAGACATCCATTACCTTTGCCATATTCTATTGGTTAGAAGCAAAGACCTACCTGCACTCAAGGGGAAGGAATAAAACTAAGGCATGAAAATCAGAGATAAAGATCACTGGGGTCACCTCTAGGCTTCTCTTGCACAGACGCCATATTGAGTCACCAAAGATCAGTGCAGATCATATCTAGTTTGTGATCACTACATAAAGGTGAAATGTGTTACCTTCCATTGAAAGGTATTATGTTGAATACAATGATGCTTCGCATACCAAATAATTTGAGATAAAGGGTATTGCTCACACAAGGGACTAGGGAGAGCAGGGCAGGCACAAGCAGGTCCAGTTTAACCAGAGCTTATGTGATTTGAATTTCCTCTGGTGCTAAAGGCAGGAGCACCCAGGCTTTCTTATCAGCTTGCCCAGGTAGGGGGCAGAAAGGAAAGAGGGACAGCTGGGCTTAAAAGCTGACAGCAGTCAAACATCAAAAAATGCAGTCATGCTCGTTGTCATAACACCATATTAATTATCATCTAGATTCTATTATAGTAATAGCACTTGACTTGCTCTGGTGGTTAAAAGCTGCTGTTGTCATTCTGGGATTTGATTGTACCTCTCAGTCCAGGAGCCCATTTCAATAGCAGCATTTCTCTTCATGAAGGTCTAATTGATAGAGGACAGCTAACTGCAGTTTTCAGGGGTTTTAGTGCTTCCCTTCACAATGGGTTTCTCAATGCTTTAATAAAGAAAGTGTTCTGAGTCATCTCAGGGATGCTTGAATAGGTCTTAGTGGTAAATCCATATCAACTGTTCTATCTTCCTAAATCTTTGAATTATTTCTTCTATGTTTTATCAAAGAAATTTTGGAACCTCATTACTAAACTTAGGTCACAGTTGAGTTCAAGTTTAATGCAGCTAATTGAGCAGATATTAGATGCATGCCCAAATGCTCTCTCTAACACTTTCAATCCAGAATTTCTGATCAGTGTATCTGTATGAATAACTTTGGCCTGATCTAAATTTATGTTCTTCATTTCCTGGACTAACAATCCTTTGAATCCATTTCCACATAGTTTAACCAAGCTTCTACTGATATTGGTATATTAATGAAACTCTTAGGTTTATAAGTTTTAGGACAAAATTTGGCTCTTGGTTGGGGCAAATATTTTAAGATTTTCATGGTGAATGTGATGATGTATCAAACAACAGAATATAAATTAAACAGCAATATATACACATAAACAGTGACAATGAGTAACAGAAGAAAAGTAGGGACATTTAGTTGAACAAAATCAAGTGAGGTTAATTTTCCTGCAGAATAATACAAAAGATTTTTCTTTTTTTTTCATAAAGAGTTGGTTTATTTTAACAGTAAATTTGAAACTCTTGCCTTAAGCAAGAGTACTACAGTAATTATATCAGGAATAGGCAATAGACAATTTCCTACACTGTCAAATATATAAAATTTCCTTTTGCACTTTCTTCAACACTGATCAACAAGCAGATTCAGTCCACATTTGCTTTGATCTATCTACTGAGTTAACCCAAGCTGCTTCTTCAGAGGCTCTGGCATCTCAGGTGGAGGAGGGCAAGGGAGCCTGAAGTAGACCTTCACGGAGTCGTAGATAAACCACTGTAATGCAGTCAGAGTACCAATCATGATGATACCGGCAAACAGTCTCTTCCGTACACCTTTAAATCCAAGTCTCTCGAGGACCTGAGAAGCACTGCTACCTTTTTCTTTATTCAACACAGATACCACAGAATCAGCAGTGAGAGAAACAACTGCACAAAAGACTCCAGCTGTGTAACCTGCTACAAATGTTACAGCCAGCTGCTCTGGCTTTGAACACTCACTGCGGGGCTTGGGAACCATAAACTTGTACGGTGCTTCAACAGTAGGTTCAAAGCAGGCAAACTTCATCATGGTGTATGGTATCTGTCTCATCCAGAGAGGAGCAACCCCCTTGTAGAATGCTTTTAGGCCTTCTTCTTTACACGTTTTGGGCGCTGCATCCCTGAAAGTGTTGCCATAACCTGGCTGGGTTTGAATTTGAACCTTAGCAGCTTCCATAGGAGTCAGGGCAATGTCAGCAAAGAATTCAGCACTGTCAGAGGCAGGCAAATATAATAATGTGCGCCAGAGATAAGTATTCTCCTCCCCAAGCATGTTAAAGACTTCCTAAAAGCCAAACTTGCAGAGCCCTTCAGGGAGTAGCCAATGAAAGTCAGAGCCTATCCTTTGGCCAAACCACCAACACCATCCTCCTTAAGTGTAACTGAGGATCCGTTAAATATGCCCTTGTACTTTTGGGGGTCCACCTGCATACGGCATTTCACTAAATCCAGGGGAACGACAGCGGTGTGTGTCAGACCACAACTTAAGACCCCACCAAAGCCACACAGTGCATAATACTTCGCGGAGCCAAATTCACAACTGTACTCTTCCACGGCAGTGGCTGCCAGCTTGCGAGGGCGGCGGGGCTGGCCTGTGGGCCCCGGAGGGCTGCTGCGGAGGTCCGCGAGGCCGTCGTGCACCAGCTGCAGATGAGGCACGTGGAAGGGGTTCGCCTGCACCAAGCGCGCCACGGACGAGAACATCTTTTCCCTAACATGGCCATCACCCAGCCACTCCCTAGGAAAGGTTGCTGCTCACAGAGGCCCAACGTCCTCCGGGCCCTAAGATGTGTCCAAAAGCCTTTTCTTTTGCAAACTTGCTTAGTGAGTTATCCAGAGTGATTTTGGATAAGTCCCTTCATCTGAATATGCTTTGTTGTTTTTGATCTATAAATTAAAGAATCTGGATTCCATGGAATCTGAAGTCCCTGCTGACCCAATATTACATAACTAGAATGATTCTTGAAGCATTTATACAATTATTCATGACATTTCTTGATTTTCATCTGTCGTCTTTTTAGTGAAATATTTCAAAAATAATACATGAAGATGGTTAGAAAAATCCGATATTTTAACTAGTTTTGTATTTTATATATAAGGAACAGAAAAATCTTTCCCCATTTGGAGATAATTCAATTACAGGCAGTTGAGGATAAGTAAAATCCTAAATCATTTTTTTCTCCAGCCATTCTTGGCTTAATAGTTGACCTGTTTATACTCTTATGCAATTTAATCCATATGTTGGAATAATAATACTTAAAATCAGTAAAATGATTTGTAAGAACTGTTTGAAGTTTAATTTATAGAAGACAGCTAAAGCCCTTTGAATTATCTTTAATCAGCCAAAATTTTCTTTCTTTAGATACTGGAGAGTATATTTTTGTCAAAATTAAATCAACATATTTCCAGTCACTTGGCTTAGGAAATAAGACCCTGAGTAATTCTGAATGCCTCTTGTAAATTCTTTTATTTTCCTGCTTGTTTACCAGAATAGGCATTTCTTTTTATAAACTGCTCAATAAAACTAGTTGTAAAAAGCCTTCTCTGATTAATTTGGAATGAGAGTCTTCAACTAGTTAAAGAATTTAGAGATTGCTGAGTAAAGTAGACCCCTACCAAAGATAAGAAATTTGAGAATCAAAGAAAGTAAATGAGATTCCAGGTCATGCAGCTAGTTTGCAGTAAAGTTAAAACTAGAATCTGTCCCTTTACCAAGATTTTGTAAATAGTGCATATTTTAGAAAAATAATACACTGACTATTAAAAATCCTCTATTTCTTCCTATAATCTCTTTTTTCCCATTTAATGGAAAACTAGAGATTTCAAAGCAGAAGCTTTCTTATTCTTAAATTTATGTGTATATTCTAAATTGGGCCATATTAATGTTTAGTAGTAGCATTTGTATATCTCATTAGATTAAGCCATGTCATTACAAATTTTAAAGGACAAGTCCAGTTTGTACAAAATCCTCCTTCCAACCGCTTAAACTTCGCATTGTCTACATTTTGACAGGAAAAGTAGAAATATATTTAATGTGCCTGATGAAGTCCGTCCTTGATTCTTCCTACCAACTTTGGTTTCTATTTCGTATGATTGGAAGGAAAAGAAAAACATCATTATGGGCCCCCTAAGTCCTGGCAAAACTTAACCTCTTAGAGAGGCACGATTGTGAAAAGAAAAGGCATGCTAAGATGTAGTGTTTGTTTTCAGCTCTTTTGATGTTCATAAAACACCAATGCTAAGGGACAGAAATGGCTCTAACTGGTTTCCTAAGTATAGACAAATTAGGCTGAAGAAATAAGCTGGACCTGAAATGGAACTTATTGGAGGAACTTATTTTTCTAGAACTTTGCTTATACTAACTACTTATTTGATTACTATTCATAATGTGTTCTTTCTTGAAGCATCTTTGTAAGTGAGCAAATAGGGCCGAGAAGGTGCACAATAGTGTTCACTTGGCCCATTATTATTATTATTATTTTAACAGACAAACCATCTAATATCGACATTACATTTTAAGAGAAAAGGTTTCTGATTTTATTGAGAGTCAGAATTGGATCATTTAGGCAAAGTATTTCTCTGGATTTCTTCCTTTGAAATGATCTTTCCTAATCTAGTGACAGGAAGTGTCAGCCTAGGCTAAATGTTAGTTTTCTAGTATTAGTGCCAAGAATGAGACATGGGCAGTTATATTTTCCGTTTATCTTTGCAATGGTATTTAAGACAGAGTGCCCTAAGGGACCTAGTTAGAATATGCACTTTACCCTAGGTCTCCACCATTTCCTTAAGCTTGCCATATAATTCTCCCATGTTTGAGTTGAAGAACCTAAATTATAGCTTCAAAATGTGGTCCAAATACTACTTGAGATGTTTGTTAGAATGCTGATTCCTGAGCTACAATATTGGCTTATTCAAACAGAATCTATGGAGTTCAGATCCTGGAATATTCTTTTTTAAAAAGAAACCCTACTCTTTATGGTGCTTCCTAAAGTTTATGAACACTATTCCTAAAGACCTATTCTGGCATACTTCTGTGAAGAGCTTTTCAAAAGTCCTCCTTTTCTATAAACAATTACTGATTTTCTTAAAATTTTTTGAAAGGTTATGTTCTCCTTCTAAATCCTGATCATCTTGATTTCAAGAAAAAAATCATTCTAATTTCTCACCTGGGGTATTGAAAAGTTAAGATGCTATTGATGATGATTTGAAAATTCAATATGTGTAAAATTTTACCTTAAACCTTGCTTCACCTTTTTTTCTGAAGTTTTTGTTGATAAGGAGCTAGAAATAAAGAACAAGCATGACAATTTTGCAAACCAATATTTTTGAAAATATTGTTTCAAATAAAAAGGAAAAGCATATTGAAATAGTCACTATAAGAAATAGTTTATAGACAGTACTTTTTAAAAAAACAGTGTTTAGAAACAGTTCATTTTTGTTTTTTTCTTTTAGAGAAGGTAGACAAACTCCATGAACTTAAAACTTGAATATGAAGTTAGCATAACTCTATAATTGAACATCTGTTGAGTGGAAGTAAGCTAAATTTGAAAAAGTAAACATATTTGAATTTTGGCAAATGAATGTGAATTGCTAATACTTTCAAGCTTAACTGCAGATAGTTTAGATTTTTATGAGATTAAACTTTGTTTCTAACTATAGATTCTGGGGACTTTCTTTGAACCCAGAATCTCAAGAAGAGAGAGAGAGAGAGAGAGAGAGAGAGAAAGAGAGAGAGACAGGGAGAGAGAGAGAGAGAGAGAGAGAGAGAGAGATCTGTGGTTCAAGTATAAAATAATGAAGTGTGAATGAGAAAGCATTTGTTTTACTGATTGGAGAGTAACAATATTAATTGTAGTAAATCTTGTAGTAAATTTGCTACACATTGTAGTAAATCTTGTAAGCTTGGTTCCTCACTCTTCATAACAGACCTGAGAGCAAAAACAGTCTTTTAATTATCACCATTGACTGATGGTAAGATCAAAATAAATGCAACTACCTGACCTTTGTCTACTGCTCCACAAACTGGCTTAACTATAATCATCTGGAGTATAGACTTAAGAAATAGATGTTTAGGTTGTTCCCCTGCAGATTCTGATTTATCTCCTCCATGATAGGGCTTTAGAAAATCTGATAAAAAAATTATGCCACTCTTATAATCAGGTAAATCTGGGAAACACTGTTATAGTCTATTTTCTTCTTGGTCAAAATTTATCTTTTTAAAAATATGCAGATTTACTTCAGAATGAATTCTTATAATTCTAATTTCAGCTTTTTACTTCTTTGAATTATTGAGTTAGTTTGCTGTGACTAAAAACCAGATTTGTGTTCTACTCCTTCTTCTGCTCTTTAGCCTGAATTAAAGCAAGTCATATAAACTCTTGCCTTTAACTTCATTCATTTTATTCCACAAATATTTCTTTATCACCTCTTATATGCAGGACATTTATAAAAGGATGGAATCAGGGGAGACAATGTTTTAGGCCCTTCTCAGCTCAAAGATACTATGAACAGATTTTTTTTCTAGCCTTAGGTAGAATTAGGTCTAAAGATACAACGGACTTTATATTTTCTTTGACATTGACAAGGTGTGTCCGTAACACATTTTAGGGCTTTGACCTGCAGTTTATTTCCATGATTCTTATGTCTAAAAATAATCCAGTAACCTTGAATGGAAGTACTCCTGAATGTAGGTCATCTTTTGGGCAGCAAAACTGTTGTATGTCACAAAATCCCTGGCTTTATACAGCAGTTTTAAGAAGTCAGAATTTTGCTCAAGTATTCCCTAGCAGCTGGGATGACCCTCAGATGTGATTCAGTTTCTGTCAGTGACTGAGTAAAGCATAGAACCTGGACTCACAGAGTTTCCCAGTACTGCTTTTGTCATGAGTATTTTTTGGCATTTAAAAATAAAACCAACTTCGTCTGCAAGATTTGGTGATTTTGGAAGCGAAAATAAAGGAATAATTGATTAACTGCATCTTCAGAAGATACTTGCTTCACAAGAATCATGAAAAAGTATTTTTGAATCTCAAATTTGATTTTTTTCCTCCACAATCTTTTCAATTCAACATTCGGCAAGTTACTTTTCGAGTGTCTTCTCTGTGCCAAATGTGCTCTGGAGACAAGAGAGTAAAATGCAGACTTCACCGCATTTCCCTGAAAAATTGCCGTTGTTTTTGGAAGCTTAAAGTCTAGTGAAAGAGGCAATAAATTAAAAACCAAGGAAGTTATATAGTTCATAGAAGTGGATTATGCTTCAGAGAGAAATAAACAGAAGAGGAGGATAGAGAGTGCTGGGAGATGGGGTGGGGACTTGTGGCTATGAATGGTCTCACTAAGAACATCTCTTCAGGCCGGGCGCGGTGGCTCAAGCCTGTAATCCCAGCACTGTGGGAGGCCGAGGCGGGTGGATCACGAGGTCAAGAGATCGAGACCATCCTGGTCAACATGGTGAAACCCCGTCTCTACTAAAACTACAAAAAATTAGCTGGGCATGGTGGCGCGTGCCTGTAATCCCAGCTACTCAGGAGGCTGAGGCAGGAGAATTGCCTGAACCCGGGAGGTGGAGGTTGCAGTGAGCCGAGATCGTGCCATTGCACTCCAGCCTGGGTAACAAGAGCAAAACTCTGTCTAAAAAAAAAAAAAAAAAAGAACATCTCTTCAGCATACTTGAAGGAGGTGGCGATTTGGGCTACAGTGTTATCTGCAGCAAGAATGTTCCAGGCAGAGGGAAGAACACCTGAAAAATCTTGAGGTGGAAGCAACTTTGGTGAGTTTTTAGAACTTT